AAAAACAAAGATATCAATCAGTAACCGGTAAAAGCAAGAAAAAAAATGTCTTCATCTACTTGCAACCCTAAACCACAGTTCAATGTAATTATCGCATAGAAAATGACTGTAAATTCAGAAGCAGTAGTAGCAGTAAGAGCAACTAACACAACAGAACAAACAACAGTGGGTGCACACGAAATAGCCCACATGAGTTACACCACAGCTGCGGGTGTGTGCCCAGGCATGTACTATTGGGTCTTTAAGCCATCCCGTAGCAAGTGGACTCCCCTTAACACCATCAAGAAGATCAACAACGCTACTGCTAACTTCAACCACAGCGGTGCCGCACCTGCGTTGCGCAGTGCATTGCCACCACCTTCACCACCGTGCCGGTGCTGTACCTGCTTTCGCCGTTGAGCTGCCGCTTGCGCCTTTGCCTTGCGCGCTTGCTGAACCCGCGACCCCGCGGCTACCGTGGACCCGAAGCCCGAGAAATCGCCGCCCTTTCTTCCAGTGCCATGAGTATTGCCGTCAGCACCGTCATCGCTTCCAGAGATATTCGCTCCTTCCTTTTCATCTTCTACACGCCGCTGTCGTTCCTCCTCCTCTTCTCTTTTAACTAACTCTTTACAGCGCTTGTAGAGGTCTTCATCAATAGCATTGACGCTGAGCAACACCTGTGCTATTTCCTCGCAGGCACGGTCAGCCGCCATCTTGGCCACGCTCACGTCCCCTTCCGTGAGCGGTTCCCCAATCCATTGCCGAATGCGCTGCGACGCCTTCACCTCGTCGATGGATTTGAGAAACGCCACCATCACCTTCACGGCCGAAACATTCCGTGTGGCGACAGCGTGGTGAATAAGCGCATAGCCCTTCTCCGTGTCGCGCTGCAGAAACACACGCTCCAGCAGAGCCCCGTCGCCTTCTTCCCCTTCCACTGCTTGCAGTAGCGTTCGCACCACATTCGCCGCGACGCCGCCTGACTGCGACATTACAGCAACGGTGAGCGGTGTTTGGCCCCAGTTGTCAGGCGCTGCTGGGCTTGCGCCGAGTTGAAGCAGGCGTGTAACCGTCCGCATTATAACACCCTCATTGCAGTTGGGTAATGAGAGGAGGAGGTGCAACGCGTGGCTTCCTGATTCAGTTGTCGCATTTACGAGTTTACGCACAACCACAGCGTCCCTACTCGCTGTCGCCTCCAAGTAGTCGAGAAGCTCTGTCAGGACACGATCGGAGCCGCTACTGACATCCGACACGGCAGTGTGCAGCACAGTGAACCCGGAGAGGTCCTTCTTGCTCAGTAGTTCGAAAGGTGAGACCACAACCGGTGGGCGTCCTTCCAAGTAGAGGAGCCCCTCCTGCTTTTCCGTCTGGGGTGTGGTGACAGTTTCAAGGATGTATGAGAAGAGTGCAGCGGCGTTCAGCGAGGCGAGCACGTGCAGTGGTGTGCGACCTTCCGCATCCTCGACAATCGGACTGGCGCCGCAACGCAGCAGCAATGCCACGGCGATGTCGTCTTCGCCCCAGCATGCCGTGTGTAAGGCAGTGGCTCGCTCTGCCGTTCCGTCTGTCGCGTCAGCAATGGCACCAGCGCGTAGTAGTAGCTGCAGTCCCTGCTCCTCCATGCCTTGACTCACTGCGTACGAAAGTGGCAGCATCTTCTTCACGTTGGGAGTATTGACAAGCGGCCGCGAAGCCTCGCGGTTGATGACAAACGTCACGGCACCAGTATCAGTGTCCTCTACGCGGCGCAGCAATATTCCCTCTAGACCCTCAACATCTCCCTTCTTGAGGCAATTCCAGAATTGTGTCTCGGATGCCGATGCCGGTTTGCTGCTACTGCCGCCATTCTTCCCCATCGCAGCACAAAGAAAAAAAAAAGTGGTATCCTTCGCAGAGGCCAGACGCCCCTGTTTATAAATGTAACTTTCGCACACCAGCGAGAAGAGACAGAGAGTTCAGGCAAGAGAAGCATGTCGGTCTTTTCAGATTCGATACATGTGTGAAGGTAGGTAAGGACTGTGCCGGATTCACCCAAAAGCAGCAACAACAACAAAGAAACCAACTGAATACGGCTCACCTACAAACGAATATTTCCATTCTCCTCCTATCCCCGATTGGCGGCTCCATTCTTGACCTTTTGGTAACATATCTGTGAATCATCCTACTCGCTCTTACTCCCCTCACTCTTCTGAAACGGTGGATCAGGCTTGAGCTTTTCCATCTCCCGCGCCTCTTCATCACGGTTGCCATCAAGTCCGCGCACGTCAAGACCCTTCTGCGTCAGAAGTGCCGCGCTCTCTTCACGGAGCTGCTTGAACAGATCTTCTGCCTTTTCTTGTAGCTCCTCGTTGTCGGGGTTCTGCGCAAACTCATCGAGCACCTCCTGGAGTCGCTTTTTGTTCCGTGAATTCCAGCTGGAAAGAGGCACCTGACCACTGCCGCGCTCAAGCGGTTTCGCCTGTGTCGGGCTAGGGCTCCATGCAATGGTATGGAACACCTCGAATGTTGCTGGGATGAGTTGATTCTTCTTGTACATCACTTCGTAAATTGCACAGGCGGCCAACAACACGTCACGGTTTAGGGGACGACGCATGTAATGGCATGCGCTTTCCCCCATATTCGATATATGCTCCATCAGATGAAAGGGTGTTTGGTAAAGCAGCAGGTGACGGTCCACATCAATGCTCGGCAGGCTGAAACCCGCCTGCAGCACCAGCGTCGAGAGACCGGCCCCGTCGATCATGGGCGATATATGAGGTGACACCCCGCCGAGTACTTCAGTCTGCGCCATGGAGAGACAACCACGCAGTTCGTACAACGTATTGCCACCAAACATGGAATGCAACATAAAGCCATCCTTTTTGAGGATTTTGCGGATGTTTACCATCGCCGTCTCCAGGTCGTTAACCCAGTGCATGGAGAGGCACGACACCACCATGTCCACTGTTCGCTCCGGGATGCCGAATGGGTCGGTCTCCTCCTCGTCACAGCAAATTTGTACAAACTCCACCTCTGGCGGAATAATTCCTTTCACTTCCTCGTAGTTGCGATTCAGCCGCTCTTCGCAGATATCTGTTTGAATGTACTGCTTCAGCCCAAAGAACTGTTTCTTCTCTAGCATGTGACGAAAGAACCAGCCAGTGTGAGCACCGACTTCCAACACCACAGGTGTCTCACGCCTTACAAAAGCGCGGCGGTCCAGCATCTGCTCGGCGCATAGCTTGTGAAGGTCACACGCCGGCGCGTCAACGAGGCATCGTTGGAGGCCTTTTAGACGCCGATCAAACATCTTGATGTTGAGGGCCCGTGCCGGCGCGGACCGAGTGAGCACTACTGGTGAAGGCATCACTTCCCTACCCAGCTTCTGTCGTTACTATACCTTCCCATTGAGAGACAGTGAGAAAGCAAACAAAAACAAAAGGAATAAGAAAAAAACGCATACCACAGATATACCACAATGCACGGCAGCGTGCAACCGTGTAATAGTGAAAGTGAAAAAGAATATTGAGGGCACCAAGTTCCGTGGTAAATGGATTCATGCTCATTTCCTAAAATAAGATTTTTTTTGGTTTCATTGATAATTAGTAGCGTCTCCTGAGTGTTTTTTTTTTTCAAACTCCTGACTTGCGGTTACACACAATCAATTGACCTTGCTGAATACCGAAATATAACGGGCCAACCAAGATAAGAAAACACACCCCAAGGCGATTTGCTTTTGAATTTTATATCATCCATAACATATCACTTTCTCTTTCCTTTTTTTTGTTGTCAGATAATATGACATAATGCTTCGCAGAATTTTTTTCTCTTGATTACGCTCAGTGTATTTACTCCCAGTCTTTAAGCCCGAAATAAAGGGATATGAAACCGCCTATAGCTTCGAGCGGGCGAAGGACTCACCCTTCTGGATGTTCTTCTTCACGACGTCAATGGCCTTGTCGAGCATGCGCTGCTCAGTGGAAGTAATGGGGCCGATCGGGAGGCGCTTCTCGATGCCATTCCTGCCAAGCACCACCGGGATCGCGAGGAAGGGGCACTCGTGCTGGCCATCGGTATCGACGTAGGCGTACACCAGCGGCGACTCCTGGCCGGTGATTGCCTTCACAACGAACATGGCGAAGCGGGAGCCCGCCTCCGCCATCGACAGCGTCGCGCTGCCGCGGCCCGCCTTCGCCTTCACCACCTCCGTACCCGCAACCTGCACGCGGGTGCGGATCTTCTCCAGCGTCGCCTCCTCCGGCAGGGGGCCGGGGAGTTGCGAGAAGAGCGGCACGATTGTCACATCACTGTGTCCACCCACAACCGGCACAGAGGGCACGGCGAGTGGGTGGCGGGCGTTGTTGATGAAGCGCGTTGCGCGCAGACCGTCGAGCAGGCTCACGCCGAGGAGCTTGTTCTTGTTGTACACACCGAGCTTCTTCAGCGCCTGGGCGGCGATGGGCACCGTGCTGTTGACAGGGTTTGTAACAATGCAGAAGCACGCCTCGGGAGACGATGAGCCGCACGTCAGCACCAGGTCCATGATGATGCCGGCGTTCACGTTGAACAGGTCGTCGCGAGTCATGCCAGGCTTGCGCGGCACGCCAGCAACGATGACGAAGATATCAACACCGCGGGCCAGCTCGGCAAGCGCGGGGTCACGCGGCACCGGGGGAAGCTTGCCGGCGGCGTGCTTCACCGTGACACCGGCGCGGTCAACGTGGGAGAGGTCGGCAGCCACGCCGGGCGCGCCTGCAACGTCGTACAAGGACAGCGTGCTGCCGTACGGCAGCTCCTTCAGGAGCAGCAGGGACAGGGACTGGCCAATACCACCAGCGGCACCGATAACAGCGACGTTCACCATGATTTTAGGGGATTTATGAGTTCTTGTAAAAGGCTTTAGGCGATTCTTTTCACACACACACACGCACAGAGAGAGAGAAAAAAAAAGGAAAGGAAAACAATAAGAAACACAAAGAGGAAGGCAAATCTTTTATTCATAAGGCAACTCGCGGCCAATGGCGTTTCTTCGTCTGTTTGACCATACGATGTTGAGTGTGGCACTACAAATGTAAACAAGAATCTTTTCCAGTAACAAGAACAAGTGAGTCTAGTACAATTACAAACTGAGTCGCTTAAAACAGCCACCCGTACAGATCTTTAGCGCCTTGGGAAGGCATCGCTGGGTGCCCAGCATACCTGACATTGCGCTGAGAATGCGCTTTAATTACGTTAGGATAGTTTTTTTTTTCTTCTCAATCATAGAATACAGATTGGTGTAGATCATTTTTTAAGGGACTCACGCCATGAATTCCGATCGGCTTCTTGTGGGGCGGCACCACCTGATTTGCCTTCGACGCGGAGCTCGGCGCTAGTGGCGGACGGGCGGGAGACAACGCCGCAGCCGTCCTTGGTGACTTGACTTCCGGCGGGAACCCCGCATCAGGGCCTCCCACCGACGGCCCGCCAAGTTGGAAGAGCGACGAGAAGTAAGCGCCAAGCCCACTAGAATTACGTCGGGGCGACGACGAAGGGAAATCGCCACTTTCCATGCTCTTGCTTGAGCGGTGGATATCGTAGTGCTGGGCGTTGTACTGCTTGGCTCTACCCTGCGCAATCTCCTCCTCCAGCTGGTCAAGATTGGCCTGAAACTCCAAGTCCTCACGAACCTTGCTGAGATTCAACTTCAACTCAGTATTTTCCTTTTGCAGCACCATCAACTTCTGGCGGTGTATGTCCTCATAAGTTGCAAGTGCAACGTCGTACTCACCCCACAACGCGGATGTGGTAACTTCGATTGCGTAGTTGCGTTGCAGATCATAGACATCACTCATATAAGCAGTAAACTCTTCAAACCCACACTGCTTATACTGCTCAAGCAAAGATATCACCAGTACAGATATTGCCGTAGAAGGCAGCAGTGCATTATCCACACTTGCACAATTAAGCAGTACATTACGATCAAAAAGAACAGCTTCCTCTGCATGTGACAACACCTGCGAAACAATGACATCACCCGAAGCAAGTGTACAAGACGACTCTAGCGATGCACGGAGCACCTCCAACACGGCCTCCTGCCATAGTGTAAGCGTCTCCCGCTCGCGCCTCTCCCTCTGCACGAACACCTCCAACTGATGCTGCTGCCACTCTCCCACCAGACAGTCTGCTGCGACGCCCACCGTCCTCAGCGTGTCGCACATCGCCGCGCCCCATGCCGCGTGCTCGGCGGCGCAGTGCTCCGCGAATGCAGCGTGGCTGTTGACCAGCAGGCACGACGCGTCGTCCAGTGCGACGGAGTGGGCGGCACGCAACGCATCCGCCTCCCGCTTCGCCTCCTCACGCTGCTGCGCAAGTACCGTCTTGGCAACCGCCACCTTCCGTTCCAGTGTACCAACCGCCTTTGCGTGCTCCTCACGCTCGCGACAGAGCTCCTCCTCGTGGGCGCGCTGCGCTTCTGCTGCGCGTTTGCTCATGCCCGCTGAGAGTGCAGCGTAGTCCGTGCGAAGCTGTCCTACCGCCTGGACGACGGTGTCTGACATGGCGCTTATCTGCTCGATGTGCATGGCGTTATTTGCTGCCATTAGAGTTTCAGTAGCGGATAAGAGCTGGTTGGTATCAAATGCTTTCTTTATAGCTGCCTCTTTTTCTCCAACAGCTGCAGTGATCATGGTATGAAGCCTCTTAATTTCGTCGTTGTGTGTCTCTTGGAGGATCCGTTGCTCCTCAGTAGAGCGGCGCTTGAGTTCCTTGAGTTTATTCTGGAATTCATCCAAGTCGCATCGGTGCTGATGCTGTGTTGTGGCGAGCTCGTCCTGAAGCTGTGCCGTCATTTGAGCAGTTGCCTTAATCTCTTCTTCCAACTTGTTTGCACGGCGGCGGTTTTCTTGTTGAATGTGTTCTGTTATGAACATCTCCTTTTTCGCACTGGAGTGCAACGCGTCGTGTAACTGCTGTTCAAAGACTGCAAGGTACGTCTCTGGTTTGTGGTGCGCGCCGTCCACCTCCAGTCGCCGTTGATATTGCTCCATTTGGAGCTCAAGTTGTCGCAACGTCAAGGAGTGTGCCTCCTTTTCTTGCCGCAGTTCCGCCTCACAGCGGGCCACCTCATTCGCTAAGAGTCGTTCCGCGTCGCGCAGCTGCGACGCCGCCTCATGCTTCACGCATGCGAGGTCGTCGGATAGCGCCTTGCAGCTACAGTGGAGTCCTTCGGCGTGGAGCGCGTAGGATGCGTCCAGCAGCTGCAGCTTCTCCCGAAAGAACTCTAGCAGCACGTCTGTTTGGCACCGCCAGAGCGAAACGAGTTTGACCGCATCGTGGCGTTGCTGCTCTTGTTGCAGCGCAAGCGAGCGGCGCACAGTGTTCATCCCCTCTTGTGTTGTGTGCATGTGTTGCTGCAGCAGCGATTTGCCATGACGGTTGCCAAAGTTATAGCGCGCCTCTGCCTCTTCCTCGAGAATTCGGCAGCGCTCAGCAAGCACCTCCGTCATCAACGCGGCGGTCGAATCAAGGACCCCCTCACGACTTTGCTGGAGGAGGACCATGTGCTCCTTCGCTGCAGCCGCCAACTGCACTTTAGCCTCCTCAACTTTCCTCTTCAGGCCCTCTTCCTGAGCGTAGAGAATACGCGCCTCTTCTTTCTGGCGCCCCAATTTCTCCTTGAGAGAAAGCAGCTCGGTAGAGGTACTGTCAAGTCGGTTTTGCAGCTGCTCCTTGCCAGCTTCCAACTTGTCTGCGCGCTCCTTCTCGCCGCGGATGTCGTCACCGCTTTTTTCGACAAGCACGGTGAGTCGCATCAGCTCCTTGTTCTTCCGCTTCATCTCTTCCTTGTACCGCATCATAACCCTCTCTTGCATCTCACTCGCCGTTTGCGTTTCGGCTGTCTTGCCGTGCTGTGCGAGTGCCCGCGTGTGCGCCGCGACAAGCTTCTCCCCAATGGCAGCGAGCGCAGACCACTCCTTATCCTCTTTTTGCTTGAGCAGTTCTCGCAGAGAGCGGCTGTGCGACTCTACCATCATGGTGTTCTTCTGGCACATCGCTTCATAGTCGCGCGTCGCGGCGGCGGCGCGGGACGTCACCACTTCAATCAGCTGCGCGTAGCCGCCCTGGTCGGCTGAGATGCCGAGACGCTTCAGCTCCTGCAGCGTCTTGTGGCCAAGATGCAGATACGACGGGCCACCTCGCGGTGTCTCTTCGCTCTTCGCCAGCGGGCCGGGGGAGACAAGGACGGAGCGCGACGCGACGTATTCACTCTTCTCGGTCTCCAGCGCCGCCACCTGCGCGCGCAGGTTTTCCATCACAGCCGCTGCCTCCTTTGCCTCGCTCTGTAGCCGCAGTACCGTTGACTTGGCACGCCTGAAGTCCTTCAGATCTTGATGCAGGCGACTGGTTTCCTCCTTGAGCTGCTGCACCACAGCTGTGTTCTTCTCCCCCACCCGCGCGCGAAGCTCCTCGATGGCGAGGTCACGGTCAGCAATCTCTTGATCCAGCTCAAGCACGCGGCTCCGAAGCCGCTCCATGTCCTCATTGGTGTAGTCGAAACGTGGTTGCTCACGCAACAGAGATTGCAACCGCGCAACCTCCTGAGTCAGTAGTTTTATCTGGCGCACCTGTGGGTCTTCATTAATGACCACCTTGTTGACAATTTGCTTGGCCCTCGAGGCATACCGCAATGTGTGGCACATCTCTTCGTAATACAACACATGAGGCGAGATAGTGGCTACCATGGAAGTTTTACTGTTACCACCTAACGAGTCCATCAGTAGCCACGTGAGGTTGGAATCACGGTACGGGCAAAAAATACCATGCTTGCCGGAGGAAATGTCGGCTAGTGCGTCAATAACACGACCCAAAGCAGTGAGGGAGAGATTGATTTTTGTGGCTTCCTTGAAATGTATCCCCTCTGCACCACTGGCGCCGGTGCGCTCGGATCCTGCCAGATCGACAAGATTCAGCTTGCTCATGACGCGACTGCTGTTGTCATGCTCGTCGAGGGTCATTTGAACAATATGAAGGGAAAGAATCGCATGACTACGACTACTGCGATCATTCATTTTGGTATAGGCTGTGTGCCGATCTGCACTTCCACGCCGGATCCATTGCAATAGTTCCCTCTCCACTGCCACGTGCTTCCGAACGAGGCCCTCTACGTACGCGCCAAGTCTCGGTTGGTGCCGAACACGCAAATCCGTACCGTTAACACCACCTGTCAGCAGGTCCATCACCTTTTCATTGTAAATTTCATAGTACTCCATCTCTACACGGAATGAATGCGTTCCATTCTGTTTATGTTTTAGGCGCAGCGTGTGAAATATATCACGTGCCAAACGAGGAATGAGGCCCTCCGCATCACCAATAATGAAATTACTGTTGCTGTTGTTGTTTTGAATACTGCTATCTAGTGTGTCTGAGATGCTACTCCCATCGCACGAGTCAGGCGGCCTCAACGGCTCATCACGCACAGATGGATGTGTGCTCACATTCGTTCGCGCCGTCGTAACTGACGTGTTCACGCTCGAGAGTCGTCCCTCGAATTGCGACCGGTGGGCGGCAGCGGTTGCCGGAGGTCCCAGCATGGTGTATGTCTTGCCGCTCCCTGTCTGCCCGTAGGCGAAGATGCAGCCGTTATACCCCCCAATCACGTTGTGCAGCACAGCCCGTCCAACGTGCTGATACACTATCTCCTGGTCGCTGTCGGCACCGGCTGCGTTGGAGTCAAAGCAGCGGTCGAAGCCATACGTTCGCCACGGCGTATAGGCCTTGGCAGGGTCAAGGATTGTGATGTGCCCCTCCTGTGGACCCACGCGCACCGTGCACAGCGGCCACTCCTCGGAGTCCTGCAACTCACGTGGGTTGAATGGTCGGACGCGCACATATACCTTCGTGGCGGAGGCTTGCGGGGGATGTGTCTGCGGCGTGTCGTCGCTGACCAGCGACGCGGCGTCGATACGTCGCGGCGTACCGGCCGCCGATGTGGTGACGCTCGACACCACCTTTTTTCGCATGGTTTCTGCTGTGCTTTGTAACTCGTGTGTGTTTCTCGTTGTACCCCGCGCAACAGCTCTACGCGGACGTGGGTTGAGGTGTGACGTGGGAGAGGCCCCAAAAACCTCTGTGGAAACTCAACAAAATGTGCCACCACTATCACCGGTTGCAGCAGCAGGTACGGAGGTGGGGAGGGGGAACAAAAAGGGGACGCGAAGAGAAAGTTGTCAGTGCGTTGAATAGAGCCACATCTCACAGCACAGCACACAGACAGATATATATATATATATATATA